GGATTCAAAGGCGGTTTAAATGCGGGCAGAGAAGAAATAGTTTGGGATGGGTTGTAACTAGAATAATCCCTGGTTTTTAAGGACTGGCTCCGTGGAATGCCTGACTGGAAACGGAGTATTTTATTACTGCTAATTCAGCAGCTCCGCTGTGGCCTGCTCGCACTTCCCTCTCGGAATGATACGAGTTCTTGGCTCGCATGGTGATGAGGGTATTTATTTTACTTTTTTGTCTCATGAGGATGAAGAGGAAAAAGCTGGCAAGGAAACATCTCTGCTGAGAAGAGAAACTTTGATCAAACTTGTGAAGCTCTTAAGTTCCAAGGAGTAAAGGAAATTTATTTATGGAACAGCTTCTTTGGTAAAAACAAAACACTGCCTGTGCCCTGCTCTTGATGGCGTATCTGGCTGCAGCGCAGCACGGTGCACGTTAGTTTTACTCGCTTTGTAGCACGAAGGGGTGTGTAGCATCAGCGGTAATTAGCAGTCTGTGCAGGCTGGGGCAGTCTTTCTTCGGAGAGCACACGACCTTCCACTGCAGCTGCAAGCGGACACCGCGTTTAGGAGTGCTCAGGAAAGCAGCCGTGGTGGGATGATTACCTGCAGTGGAGCAGGCTTGCGTGGCAGCCGTTCTCACTGTGATTCTTGGCAAAAAGCATCTGCTCCGCGGATTGAATCGTTCGGAGGCCTCTGCTCGCCCAGATCACCTCCGACGAATACCCTGAAACCCCAGCACTCCACGGTGCGCGGAGACGACAAGCCCTGCTGATTCCTGCCTCGTCTCGCTTCCAGCGAAGCGCTGCCATCACCGGGTGCCGGTGCCGGGGGCCGCACGCACGGGTATCCCGCTGCGGCACCTAAAGGGACGCCCGGTCCCGTCTGCGTGCGTTGAAATCCACCAAACCCAAAACGCCACGAACACATTGCATTCCTCACCTGGCAGCCGAGGATGCCAAAGTGTTTTATAATTAATTAACTAATTAAGTCTAAGAGCATTTCAGTGTAGGTTGTCTCACCAGAGAGGCGGAGGAAGTCAAAGGGCTATCTCAGCGCTGCGCCCGCAGCCGCAGCCCTCTCGCTCCCCGCTGCTGCCCTGTCCCAGGAGTTTGGTCTTAAAGCACTTCGGGGAGCTGCAGACTGACAGATGTTGCCATCAGACAATGTCAACAACAAGTTTCTGCTTGTCCTGCGAACCAGTCACAGAGAAGCCAAGCAGATGAGCGTGTTTGTGCTTTTTTCTCCGTGGCTGGGGGAGTCCAGCTGGAAGAAGCACAGACGTCATTTCCAGCCGAAATGCCACCCGGGGTGCCTGGCTGGGAACTGCCGCAGTCCCTCGCGCAAACGGCATCAGCAGCTCCCCAGGCTCATTTCGTCTAAGCTAAAGCGTATTTTCTGGGCATAGAGGTGCGTGCGGGAGAAGTGGATCACAGAATCACAGAATCACAGAATCATTAAGGTTGGAAAAGACCTCTAA